TGGTGGCACGTCTCCTGTTCTGATTGTAAGGATTGTGATTGTTTCCCTTCAACACACTTTGAACACTTTTCTAAGGGTAATGTTTAAGTATGCAACTCCATCCCATCTACCTGTGACCTGAGACTTTTAATACAACCATACCTCAAATGACCAAGCCTGTCATGCCACAGTTTCATTTCTGTTTCAGTTGAAGACGCTGACAAAGCTTTGTGTTGCAAAAAATTTAACATATATAACTGAGAATTGTTTCTTTTTGCAACCGCAACAGTTTGATTAACTTTCTTAATCAAGCCACATGAATTTTGAAAGATAACACAAAAACCATTCATTTCCAAATTTCTTACTGAAAGTAAATTGTGACTAATTCCAGGTACAGATAAAACATCTTTGATTGTTATTTTAATTTCCTTCCCTTCCACAACACTAGTGACATACAATTCCCCTTTACATTTTGCTTCAAGATAAGTTCCAGACTTGGCTACTTTGATTTTAATAGGTTGTTCTAATTTCTTAAAGTTAGAGAGACATACCTCATTACTGTTAACCAGATGTTCTGTTGCTCCAGAGTCTAATATCCAATTTATGGTATCTGCTGAACAGTCTTCACTTGATGTTCCAAAACAAAATGCATCTTCCTGTTTGGTGTCGACCATGTTCGCAGAATTATTTTTCTTTGCTGGGTTCAGTGGTAATTTGACTCTGCAGTTAGCTCGTTTGTGTCCAAGCTTTCCGCATCTGTGACAAGTGAAATTGAACGAGTTGCCAGAAGTTCCTTGATTTCCTGGAAAATATTTCTTTTCCCCTTGTTGAGACTGGAAGGCAGTAGGGTGTGATGTACAATCAAATTCAATTTTCCAACGCCCCTCCTCTTTGTCTCCTCTTCCAGCAGTCTGACTTTCACAAAGCTTAGAGATAAGTCCTTCATTGATAGAGTCTCTATGGCCGTGACAACGACGTCATATTCTTTGGGCATGGTCAGTAGTAGATGACAAACAATGTCAGATTCCTCGACAGTTGCTCCTGTAGATCGTAACTCTCTTATGACTTTGTCAAATTTCAGAAAGTGACGATTTAAAACGTCATTCTTCGCATCAAACTTCATTGTTAGTAACTGCTTCCTTAGTAGAAGTTGGCTAGCTATTCCTTTCCTTTCAAATGTGTTGCAGAGAGATTGCCATAGTTCAAAAGCAGTTGCCTTGTCTTTTGCATATTCCAAATGGCTGTCGACAATACGCTGTATAATCTGCGACTTGCACTTCCGATCTTGTTTCGTTAATTCCAACAACCTTGCTTCCTTCCTCTCTCGTTGTTCATCTGTGTCTTTATCCAGAAATTCAACTTTGGTAACATAAGATTCCTTTACAAAAGATAATATTTCTAATTCCTCCAACAGAGTTTCAATTCTAAATTTCCAATTGCTGAAATTGGTTCCATCAAACAATGGTATTCGATACTTTTCATGTTCAGTTGCCATTTTAATTCAGTTTGATTAGCCAGGTAAAAAAAATATTAACAAATTCCGTATTTAAACAGCCCTGGGCCCATAACCTGTAAATATGTGGTTTCCCTGGACACTAAATTAAAATACCTAGCTCAATAAAATAAAAGGGCAAACTGAATTATTAAACTCAACACTTTTAATTGAACCAACTAAAGAAGACATAGATTAAAACTATTATTGTTTTTAACAACACATTTAACAATTTAACCATCTGGTATTCATCATTGAAGTATAACATTAAAAACAGACATGTGGCAAATATTAAATTGCACTCAACAATTATAAATTGATATGCCCGTGGTTAAAAAGAATTATTTTATAAACCTACTAGCAGAGTACCCGTCCTTTGTACGGGGTTGGCATATAAGTATCAAATGCTTATAGCAGTTATGAGTGAGGACATGGTTTAAGAAATTTCGGTTCTTTTTGAAGTTCGTTCGCTACGTTCACTCACCTTTAGGTTGGAGCTCGTTCGCTGCGCTCACTTTCCTTCAGGTTAGCTCGTTCGCTACGCTCACTTGCCTTCAGGTTAGCTCGTTCGCTACGCTCACTCGCCTCCAGGTTGAAGTTCGTTCGCTACGCTCACTCACCTTTTGCTGTTGTCATAAATGTACAAGAAATAATAGTGCTAGTGCTGCACCCTGTTGGTAATCCTTGTAACTTTTAATGCTATTGAACATCATAGAACAGAACCAACTTGTTTAATTGAAACAGCTGTTAAGATTCATTAATTCCATTTCTCATAAGGTTAACATGGGAAACTCCAGAGCCACTGGGGCGGAGCCCCGAAGGATTTTTGGGATAAAAATATGCCTATATGTTAATCGGGAATGTGAGCTATCATCATGCCAAATTTCAGCCCGATCCGACCAGTAGTTTTTGAGATTAGCTCATACAAACACACACACAGACACCACCTCTTCTTTATAATAGTATAGATAGATAGAAGATAAAACAAAATCATAAAATGTTACACAAAGTCAATAACAATAACAGCAATTGTAAAAAGGGTATAAAGATAACAACGTCATTATACTTTTCCTACAGTTACCTAACAATGTACATGTTCTCTCACTGATTTGAGAAAGCAAAGTGGCCAATTCGCTCATCAGTGAGACAATGTTAACATTGTCTCACTCTAATTACTTTGTCTCACTCCAGATTTTCAACGTGAAGGCACGATATAGTGAGCGCGTAACATGCAGGCAACGCCGTATGCGCACGAAATACGTTGGCAGCACTGGCTGTAAATCAGCTGGTCAGCTGTTGTACTGTTGTATTTGTCACTTCACATTAAATGTTATATTAAAAGTTCATTCTATGTAAAAATAGGTTATGTTTCTTCACAAATTTATTTGTTTTATGGTAACTGTAGGAAAAGTATTATGTGCAACTCGAGTTCAAAGTACAATTGCCTCACTCGAGAAACCATTCCTCACTCGCCTACGGCTCGTGAGTAAGGATTTCTCTCGAGTGAGTCAATTGCTCACTTTTCTCACTAGTTGCACAAATAACTATTCTCTTTGTTCTTCTATTTCTTGGGTTTCCCTTCATTACGCATTCAACAAGTTGCCTAGTTGCCATGGTTACTAACCACCCATGTCTTATCAGCTTTTGTGATATAGCGCAAATCAGGGGGTAAAACTTTACGAAAATCGGTTAATTTTTACCTATTATTTAATTACCAATGTACTTTATTGGTACTGTATTGATAAATTGGCCGATTTTTGTCAAATTTTACACCAAATTTATTGAAATTTCAAGGTGAATATCAATATTACACCAAATTTATTGAAATTTCAAGGTGAATATCAATAAAACAATTATTACCAAATATTTTTATTCATTTAAAAGATTGATTTTTGGTATTGGGATCCCCACTGAGTGCAGCCGAGCGGCACTAATGAGGGTTGAACCGCCTTGGGGGTGGACAATAGACGGCTTATCAGACCCGACCCTCCCCATTGGTCTGGAGAAAGCTTCTAAAAAAACTATTGCACAAGCAAGCGTGACTTGACATTGGGCTGTTTCAACATTAATTTTTACAAATGAACTGCGATGTTTCAAAATCAAAAACAATAATTTGGGACCATACTGCATAACAATAATGGACTGCAATAATTGTTGAATTATACAATCCATTTTTAACAAACTAAGATTATACTATTCAAATACAATTTTAAAAATTAATCTTGGTATTTTACTTGGGGTGATGAAGCTATGTAGGCTAGTGTAATTCTCGGTTCATCAAGGTTCTACTGAACTATGTTGGGCAGTGAATAAGTGTAGAATGAAATTTATAAATTCAGGGATACACACCTTTTACAGAGTTATAAAGCCTAATTGCCCTAATTAACTTGCCACAACATCAAATCTAGAGCCCAGCTTAGTGCATTAGTGATGTTTTCTAAACTTGGCAAACCCGCAGAATGCCACTTAAGGCCAATAATCCGTTCCAAAAACGTAAGGAAATACAATGTGAAAATAAACTTGAGATAGAACTTCTTATATTGTGAGAACCAGGAAACAACAAAAACATAACTTCAAGTAAACAAGCCCAAACGTTTTGACATCAGTCCTGCTGAGCTAAAGTGTTGTGTGAAGATTTCGGCAGCTAGTGTACTTAATTCAAGCAACCAACTTTTGAAAATAGATGTTGTGAATTGTGATTTTCAAGAGAGAAAAAACTGTGGACGTGGCTAATTTGAAATTCTATAATTCAAAATCATCATTTAAGTTTATTTACACAGCTTTACAGTGTTTTATAGGTTAAAAATGCATATGCAGCTTATTATTAACCGCGCAGAACTATCTGAATCCGAAAATATCCTAATCCGAACCTCCCAATATCCGATCTGATCCAAACCGAGCCTCAACTATCCGATCCGAAATGAAATTTCACTATCCGCACACCTCTAGGAACTAGCATTGAGTAAAAGCTGTAATGATGGTTGAGTCAAGGAAAACGTATAATTTTTAGTTCCTAAAGTTAAGTCCTTCACAGTCTGAATTACCAATTACCAATCATTAAGATGGGGATGCCACTTAGGTGCGTATTTTAACCCAAATATGAGTGAAGGATGAGTGTAGAATGGTGTGAGATGATCTGTGTAGCTTTGTTACTGACTAAGATCAGCTGTTTCATTAGCCAGGATCATTTATTTAAAGCCCAATGATCAGGAACAGCTGGGTCCAGTTTCGAACCATCAAAAAGCTACTGACTTTTTTTATAATCCGTAATTATAAGACTAACAATCCTTCCCACCGCTAGGAGGCAGTATTCTTAGGTTCTTTACATGGTGTTTGGAACAATTTTAACAAACTTGATAGGATGCAAGTCTCTAAACTTACAGTAGTTTGTGATGTAAATTTGTGTAGAGTTTTAAAACTTGCAAGTGGTATATGCTGATTAACATGTATTTGCTGAACAACTTATAAATGTATAGTGTAATTTCAAAAAATAATCATGCTTCATCCACAGCATGTTTTATTTTCATACCTGGCAACGTTGCCCTTAGGCCCAGCATCCAGCATCCGATCCTTGTCAATCGTGAGGAAGTAAAAGTTGTCTTCATTTCTCTCGTGCATATCTGCCAGTCTTCTCTTGTATTCATCCTCATCAATCATTTCACCCACGTACTCAATAACAAAGTCACCTGTGTAGTACAAGTTATGATTACATTGGGATGAACAATTGGAACCGACTACATCACTACTTTTAAATTTCATGATGGAATTGCCTCTGGATCGTCTGTATTAACGTATAGTGCTTTATGTTACCTCGTTACTGTCCAAAACGATCGTTTGTAGTTTGTTAGTCCAGGAGCTGAGGGGGGTTGAGCATGCATGAAATTAGTACGCAATGTTATTGCTGATTATTGTAATATGGACTGTGGTGATCAAAATTACGTATGTCGCCTATTTCAAAAGTGGTCGATAAGGTGGGGGGAGGGGGCAAACATGGCGGTTTGTGCTATGCGTTAAAACGCTGATATTTCAAAACAGTGAATGATAGAACATCGGTTAAAACGTCATTGTAATTCTAAAAATGTGGACTACAATAATGGTTATTGAGTCCGAGGTCGTATCTCTATAAATAAACAAGTTATTGTATAAAATATGTAAAAATGGACTTTTCGTGTAATTTTTTTACCGAAAGTAGAATTAATTTGTGAGAGTCGCAAAGAAGTAATATCAAATATCTTTCCTGATAGTTGTAGTATGGACTGTGGTGATAAAAAATACGCATGTCGCCTACTTTTCAGGTGGTCAAGAACTTGGGGGGAGGGGGGCAAAGATGGCGGAACGCGCTATGCATTGAAACGACTGTAGCTCGATAACGGTACGAGATAGGACATCGGTTAAAACATAGTTTTAATCCAAAAAATATGGCCAGTAGAAAAGATTGTTGGGTAAAAAGTTGTATCTTAACTAATAAAAAAGTTATAACAATAATAAGTTTAACAAAATCTACATTATACAGCTATTTTCTTCAAAAAACATATGAATTGTTGAAAAAAAAATAGTGTAATTACTTAATTACTCGGCTAAATATTAACTAGATGCATTTTCTTATAAGAAAAAAAAATATTATTACGAATACATATGGTTTAAAATGTAAAAACACCTTGGGGTTCGTCCGAAAGGTTGTGTCATAATAACTATGCAGTACTGCTGATATCGACACAACTGTTAATCCCCCAAAAGAGTTCATTGCCTTTTAACTCAGTGATATCGGGGTTGTGAAAGTATTTGTACAGTTTAAGACTACTGACATTTATTGCGTTTTATTTATACAAATAACATTCTTTTATAAATTTTAATAGTTATTTTTAAAATATTTTAAATTTCAATACATTTTGTTTTAAGTTGCTTACGTTTTTTTAAATTGTGTGTGGCTGGTTTTTATGTACGTTTGTTCTTAGTGACTAGTGGATTAGGCAATTTTAAAGTAAAATTTCACCAACTTACAAAAGTTAGGTACCTATTTCAATTCAACAAATAATACGAACAACCAGTGTAATTGTTATGGACAGAATGAAGAGAATTACCGTATTTTTTATTATAAGGTATTTACTTTTGTAGTTATGTTTTTTATTTCATATAACTGCATTTAATAAGAATCTGTTACATAATCATATTGTAATAACCTATAACATTATAATAAAAATTGGATTTGTAGTGGTAATCTGTATTATGCATTTGATTGCGGCGAAACCCCAAGTATTATACGTAGTTTGGAGGCCGTGTTTTACATTTTAAACCATGTATTCGTAATAATATATTTTTTTCTTATAAGAAAATGCCTCTAGTTAATATTTAGCCGAGTAATTAAGTAATTACACTATTTTTTATCAACAATTCATAGGATTTTTTAAGAAAATAGCTGTATATTGTAGACTCGCCCCAGGCCCCCTAGCGTAATAGGGTTAGTCGTCATTAGTAGATTAGAGTTGTAACAAAGTTGAAACAAAGCGGGCTGTGAAACAGTCAATATTACGTAATTAAAAAAATTTTCACGAATACATTAGAGGAGGTTGGCAAGTTAATTTCAAGCTCCACCTTAAAAAAAACCCTTATAAAAACTCTTTTCTACAGTTTATAAAAAAAGATTAGTAGATAAGAGTTTAGTTGTATCAAAGCAGGAAGTGAAACTGACGATATTAAGTTATATGAAAGCAATTCCATGTTTATATTAGAGGAGGTTTACAGTATAAGTTAAGTCCCCTGTAATAACAAAAAAAATAAAAATATATTTTTAAATGCTGTAAGATTATAAGATGGTAAGGTATTTTTACAAGTGAATTATTGGTCAAAGGAAGTGATAAAATAAGGATAATTGGGGTCGTAATAGTGAAAATCAATATTAATGTAATAACGATTTCTTAGGTAGTCGTCATTAGTAGATTAGAGTCTAGCCCCAGTCCCCCATTGTGGGGTGTTGACTTATTAGATTACTTACTACATCCTTGGCAAATTTAAAATCCCTAGTTACAAATATCTACTTTAAAACCTATTTCCTATTAAAATAAAAGGGGGGAATTCAAGACTTTGGGGGGGGGGGGGGGGTTGAAAGGCCAAGTCCAAGAATTGTAAAGAAGTCAAGAAGGCAATACAAATAAAAATAACTGTAACATGGTTATTACCGAAAAGTAGTCTTTAAAAGGCATTGTGGGGGGCTTCTGTTCCCCATAAAAAAGTCAGAAGCTTAAAAAGTTATTTCCCATAAGAATAACTTGGGGGGAAATTCTTAAAAAGGGTTACTATAGGAAAATTTAACTTTTTAAAATTGTCTAGTTTGTTTGGAGGACAGGAAATTTTATATTTAGAGGGGGGGGGGTTGTTATTGTAAAACGCCACTTTTCAAGAAGGACGCAAGACCTAAAGACCTACAATCATACTAAATTTCAAATCTCCAGTTGATTTAGAATTGGGTAAACGCGATTTAGACCGACGCACTTGTAGGAATGACATTGGGGAAGTCAATATTTTGGAAGGGGGTTATTATTTTCAAATGTCAATTTCCGAAAAGGGTGCAAGACCAACAATTGGGCCAAATTACAGTATCTCCAGCTAATCTAAAAATGGGTAAACGTGATTTAGACCGATGCACCTGTAAGAATAACATTGGGGGGGGGGGGGGAGGAATTCGATATTTGGGGCGGGGGTTATTATTGTAGATGTCAGTTTTAAACAAGAGCTCAAGATCTACAATGGTGCCAAATTTCAATCTCCAGCTAATCTAGAAGGGGGAAAACGTGATTTAGACCGATGCACCTGTAGTGACTATAGGAAAGATATAAGGGGAGAAATCGATTTTTGAGGGGGGGGGGGGAATTTTTATATGGTTCATTTTACATTCACCTTGGTGTTAGCTTTAATACAGTAAAGTGTGTATAGTTTCAATACCCTAGTGCCCATACACCATGTAAAGAGTCCTTTTAAAACTTTGTAAATGTTATGGAGTTCGTGAACATATTTCACAATTTGACATTAAACTTAAGTTTTAGGGGTTAAGGAGTAAAGTTACGAAAAGGCATTTACAGTGTAGAATTTAAGGTAAACTAAGGAAATACAAAGCATTAATAATAATAACAAAAAAAACGCAAAGGTAGGAAAACGTAGCGAAAACCAAAAAAAGACTTAAAAGGAGAGAGGTCCACCATTTTGGATTTTTGGGGTGGTTAAAATTTGAAAATGGGAATTTTGCAAATTTCACCGATTAATTTAAGATTCCATACTACGTTACTGCCAAATGTCAAGTCTCCATCACGTTTCTAAACTTTTCAGATGAGCACACCAAAGTCGGCCACTTTCAATGTTATTCTCCGTAAGAATAACATGGGGCTCGTAAAAACTTTCAAATGTTGACATTAAAATTAAGTTTTAGGGGTCAAGGAGTAAAGTTACGAAAAAACATGTAAAGAGTAAAATTTAAAGTAAAGTAAGGAGAATACAAAGCAATAATAATTAAAAAAAAAAAAATATTTAAGTATGAAAAAATGGCGAAAACCGGTAGAAATTTAATACAAATTTACCAAATTTTGAAAGTAGGGCGTTTTTTGAAGCTGAAGGAGTGCGATTTTCGGAAAACGCCTAAGAGGGTTTTGTAGAAAATTTAATTTCCTTTCGCTAAGATCCTTTCAAATCTTTTCTAGCTCTTACCGTTTTCGAGATTGAAAAAAATGTGTTTTGTCGTTTTTAGAGGTCCGCCATTTTGGATTTTTAGGGTGGTTAAAATTTGAAAATGGGACTTTTGAAAATTTCACCATTAGCTTATGATCCCTTACTGTAATACTACCAAATTCCAAGTCTCTATCACGTTTCTAAACGCTTCACATGACCATACCAAAGTCATTAAATTTCAATCTTATTCTCCATAAGAATAACATGGGGCTCGTAAAAGTGGCAAAAAACCTTCAAATTTGGAGATTAAAATTAAGTTTTGGTGGTCAAGGAGTAAATTTACGAAAAAACATGTAATGAGTAAAATTTAAGGTAATGCAAGGAAAATACAAAGCAATAATAATTTTTGAAAAAAAAATATTTAAGTATAAAAAAAATGGCGAAAACCGGTAAAAATTTGAAAAAAAAAACCAAATTTGGAAAGTAGGGCGTTTTTTGAAGCTGAAGGAGTGCTATTTTCGGAAAACGCCTAAGAGGGTTTTGTAGAAAATTTAATTTCCTTTCGCTAAGATCCTTTCAAATCTTTTCTAGCTCTTACCGTTTTCGAGATTGAAAAAAATGTGTTTTGTCGTTTTTAGAGGTCCGCCATTTTGGATTTTCCATACCAAAGTCATTAAATTTCAATCTTATTCTCCATAAGAATAACATGGGGCTTGTAAAAGTGGCAAAAAACCTTCAAATTTGGAGATTAAAATTAAGTTTTGGTGGTCAAGGAGTAAATTTACGAAAAAACATGTAATGAGTAAAATTTAAGGTAATGTAAGGAAAATACAAAGCAATAATAATTTTTGAAAAAAAAATATTTAAGTATAAAAAAATGGCGAAAACCGGTAAAAATTTGAAAAAAAAACCAAATTTGGAAAGTAGGGCGTTTTTTGAAGCTGAAGGAGTGCGATTTTCGGAAAACGCCTAAGAGGGTTTTGTAGAAAATTTAATTTCCTTTCGCTAAGATCCTTTCAAATCTTTTCTA